GAGCCTAGTGATTGCATTGAGCACATTAATAAATTTTAAGTCATATTTTTTCTTCTTAAAATTATATGATATTTTATTATATAGATTTAATTAATATGTAAAATACTTTTATGGTTATCTGTTAATTTGAATTAATAAATAAAATATCAAATACTATTTAAATTTTTTTAAAAATTTAAACTTTATCTAAGCATTTTTTTTTTTTTTTGATTTAATGGTTGGACTGTTGATATTCAACATATACAATGAGTTATTGAGTAAGATAACCTTTATCGATAGTTGCTTTTTGAGTCATTTGATCTCTGATTATATATTTAAGGAATGATCTTAAATTTGTATAAACTTACTCTATTCAATAATTTATATTTTATATTAAATTTCAATGATATAATATTTAAATTAAAAATTCTTAACAATAGACCAAATATGCAAATTTTAAAAAAATTAAAAATTATTTGATACTTCATTTTCTTAATTCAAATTGATATATAATCATAAAAATATTTTATATATTGATTTGAATCAATGAAACAAAATATCAAATTATTTTAAAATTTTGTAAAAATTTATATATTTAATTTATGTATTTAAAACTTTTAATTTAACAATTGAATATGAAAGTTACTTTACTTAATAACTCATGATTTATATTAAAATTTATTAATTCAAACTCATGATTTATATTAAAATTTATTAATTCAAACGATAAGTTAAAATTTTTTAATGAATAAATTAAATTTATAAAATTTAAAATTATTTAATATTTTAATAAATTAACTCATATTAATGATTATTTATAACATTAATTTAAATTTATATAATGAAATATTAAATAATTTTTAAATTTTGTAAAAATATGTAAACTTAATATATTTATTAAGAACTTTTAATATATATAACAGTTGTATCGTTGAAATTTAATATAAATTATAAATTATTAAGCGGAGAGACTCTACTAAAATTTACTCTAAGTTTTAATTCTTTTATTTAAGACAAAATCCAGTTATAATATTTTGTATTTTTATATTATTCTGTTGAAGTGTCATCCTAATAATATGTAGAATAATGCAGAGTCAGCGAGGCGAGACTTGTTTTAGTCAAATAATAACTTACACAAACATTTAAGATTTTACATCTAAAATTTATCTTTTCTTATATGTATGATCATGGCTTAAATTAAAAGCTCAATTGGGATTAATTAAATATATTTTGCAGCATAGTGACATTTACATTATCAAAAACCAGCTATGTCACTGTTGGCAAAGAAAAAAGGTGAAAAACAATTTAAGGATAGAGATTTTCTATGCTCACCCTCTCTTCTAAGTTTCATTTAAAATAAAATAATAAGATAATTCATAGTTTCTCTGTTCATAAAAATTAAATTCTTCAACGAATAAGGATGATAAGTATATTAATTTTCTTAATAATTATGTTAAAAATCATGTATTTTATTGGATAACTTTACTAAAGTCTATGTATAAAAATTAAACTCATAAAATAAATAAAAGCTAAATTAAATCATAACAAAAAAATATATGAAAAATGAGAAATGAAACATAAATGAGAGTAAGAGAGACCAACCTTGCATCCCAAAGAGCAAAATCGATAAGAGTTCGAGATATTTGTTCCGCATGTCTCACATTGGGAATTGTGTTTAGAACTCTTAGGCTCTTCGAAATCCCTCATGTTCAGAAAAACAACATTAAATCTATCAATCACATATGTTTGAATCTCAGTGATATCAAAGTCATTCTCAATATCTAACACCTTCACAACATTGTGATTCGAGGATCTCCTTATCTGCATTGCACATACACTTATCAAGATCTAATTTTTCCATCGCTAGTTCAAATCTAATAAATAAATTGCTACGTACTAAGCCATATTTTTTTTCCCAATTGTATGAAATCAAATTAAACACCTACTTGAATGAATTCGTGATCCTGGTGACTAGATTGTATGCAGTGGATGCACACCGCTTGGTCATTACAATCGATGCAGAATATGCTGCATTCTCTCTTGATTTCTTTGTTGTGATGCTCACAATCAGTAAAAAATGTAGTGAGAGACAGCAATCTTTTGAACCATGATGGCACAGTCTTGGATTCCTAGGAGACAAACCCAACAATTTAAGAACAAAAAGTTAAAAGACTAAAAATTGGACACATATTACAAATGATATGGGTATACATTACCATTGCAGATGTTGATTATTCCCGGAGAGTGATAGGACAAGAGAGAGATAAATGTCAAAAGAACAAAGAAAATCACATAAAAATGAATAAAATATGATGAGGAATGAGCATTTGTATACACAAAAAACACAAGACAAGAAGGGCTGAGATGAAAGGACAAAAAAACATAAGTCAAGGGCTGAGATAGGATCATAGATTAAGATGGTTAATTTTGGACCCTTGGATTGGAAGACCCTAGATTTTTCCTTTTCAGTTTCCTTTTGCAAAAGTTCTCACAAGTCAGCAAATTTTGGTGACATATTACTTGGGCAGTGGCCAAAAATAATAATAACATTAATTTGTGAGAAGAGTGAAATGATAATTTGCACATGTGAAACTAAATTCTGTGAAATGCACAGGGAACAAAGCTTTTGAGCGGTTTCCACCCATTAAACCCATTAAAAAATTTGAGTAACCCGAAATGGAGTGGATTAGGTGGAGGAAGGAAAAAAAGTAGAGAAAATGATTGAAATGAAATGTAATGTGATGAAAAAGGTAAAATTAAATCAGATGAAAAATAGTGGAAATGAGTTGTAAGAGATTGATATAGATTTTTATTATTTTTTTAAAAAAAATTATTATCAATCTAAATTTACAACATAACTAAATTGACGCCGGAGAAAATTTACTGAATTAATTCATAATTTTTTTTAAAAAAGCATTAATTGCAAAAATATTTAAGTGGTAAGTAAATGTCACAATTAATTAATTTCATATTTTAACATTTACTCATGTCTTTTTTTGTCTCCTTTCATAAATGAAAAAAAAAAAGGAGAATCCAAATTTATTAACTTAGTATAAATGTTATTACTACTTTGTTTAAATTTGACTTTTTGTTTGGTAAAAAAAAACTTTTTGTTTTAGTCTAAATGTACGAGGTGGCAATTGGAATTTTTTTTCAAACAAATAATTCAGCTATTGTGAGGAAGACTTATTAAAACATGTGATTGATGTAGCATCTGTAAAAATTAAATTAATAATTTAATAATAATTATTATAGATTGTATTAATAATTAAGAGTATTTTTATTAATAACATAATAATAAACCTTAATTAAAAGAAAAATATTCTTCAATTAAATGAATGGGTCTCTAAGTCCCGATAGGAGTATCAGGGTTTATAAACCCTAGCCGCACACTATAACTACCATAGGTGTTTGTTATTTTGAATAATTCAATAAAATTATGATTTCAATCAAATTAACTAAATTGTTTATTTTTTTTTATTGAATCAAATCCGATCCATATCAAATAAATCCGAACTTAATTAATTTAGATCACAAATTTACATTTTACAATTTCATTGAACTGTATTCATAACTTATTAAACATTGAAGAGAATCCCATTCAATCGATACATTTGAAACATCATCGTATACATGTGAAAAACACACATAACGTTAGCAGCTTCGTTACATCAATTAAGTGTGTAGTTTTGATTAGGTATTTTTTTTCCTGCATTGATAAAAGGGCAAAAAGTAGGTACACTTTTTTATTTATTTATGTGTAATTGATATTTTTATCTAATTATCAATATATATAAATATATATTAATAATAATATATATATATATATTAAATATAAGTGTATATATATTAATGAAATAAAATTTCAATTTTAATCGGATAACATCAATTACATTTAAAGAATTATATCTAAATTTTATCCTTTATAAAATTGATTTCATATAAATTACTCTACAACTTAGGTGGAATGAGTTTGTGAAAAAGTAAATAAATGAATAAATCATGATATTATAATGGTTCTGATGTAAGCAAATTATTTTTACAAACATTAATTGGCGTGGCTTTAACAAGTACTACTATTTCTGTGGGTTTTTTTTTTCAAGCTAAGGCTTTTATTAAAACTAGGTGAGCACAAGAGAACAATTTATCATTTCATTTTTATGCGAATTGATGTGTGATTTTTTGTTAACTGGAAATTCATGAAGTAAAGAAATAATTATAACGAGAAGAAAGAAAAAAGAAAGTCATTTCAAAGTAAAAGAACAACCATTACCATGGTAACTTTTTGTAGAATTGTTATTATATATCTTCTTTAAACTAAAAGGGTGCGTATAAAGTTTAAAATAATAACAATAATGTATCCACTTTTAATTTAAAAGGAAATGAAGTTTATGAAATACTTTGATTCAAATTAATGATATACACACACTTATTTTTTCAGTTTATGTATCATCTAAATGTATGTATATTTCACACTTGAATGATATGGACTCGTCGACAGAATTCAAAACTTAATAAACCCTAAACTTTTGAGTCCGGATGATTTTTGAATAATATTATGTAAAGCAATAATTGTGAGAGAAAAAAAATTATCTTTTGATTGAAATATTAAAAGAAGTAGAAGTTAATACATTAAAATACAAGAAGAATAGATTCAAAGAATGAAACGAATATCAAAACAAACTGATACTTCATGTATTTATTTGTATAGAGAGAAAGAGAATGTTTAAGTTTAACATGTTTCAAACTATGATATATAGTGAATCTAATATGAAGCAAAACATAATTGTACTCAAATCAGCCAATGTTAACAATGCTCAGTACCTCTTTTAAAATCTCTTATTGAAATTCTCCATTAAGATAATTTATAATATCCATTGTTTAAAAATCCACATTTAACTCGCATGTAGATTGTGGGAAATTAATGTGGTGGATAAATATCACGAGAAAGCAAATTTAGCTAAAACAACACATGAGATTCTACAATTATTACTAAACTCTCTTTCAGTAATTTGATCAAATATAACTCCTAAAAAAGAGGTGCCCTACAAGGTACTCCCTTTCTTTTGTTTGAATTTGAGGTTGTCTTATTCTTCCTTGAACTTGAGTCAACTTCATCAGTTGTCTGCAACGGCAAATTATTGAGAGAAGTCTTGCGGCTTTTAGGAACTCTTTTTTTAGGAATTTGTTCACTGAAACTTTTCATTTCTTGTGGTGACCATGTCTCAGTAATTTTCTCTTCTTCCCTTTTTCTCTTTCCTTCTGCTTTGTTTGTGCTCATGACAGTGCTTCCGCTTCCACTCTCACTCATCCCACTCTCAATCTCACTCTTTTGGACCCATGCATACTATATTACACATAGTAATTAACAACATCATTATTAAGCATATACTGCTAATTGAAACCAACAAGTTACATCACTGGTAATTGAAAAGTTCATAGTCTCGTATTAAAAGGTTAAGCACAACTAATTCAAAATACGAAATGATGTTGCTAAGATAACTTTAACTAGGAATTGCTCTGACAAATTAATAAATTTTCAAGTGATGATATTTCTTTCTTTAAAATAGGCAAAACAATATACAATATATAGTTGATTTGAGTGATATTGGATTTGATTTTTTTTTAAGTAAAATCTAGAGTTCGAATTTTCTTTGATGAAGATCAGTAATGATACTTTATTTATTGTTATAAAAATAAATTTTAAATATTTAAGATTTTACATCTATACTTTATCTTTACTCATATATATGAGTGAATAGGATGACAATAGATTAGACTTTAAATAAAAATTTATGATCTGAATTATTTAATAAAAAAATAAATTTAACCTTTTGAAAAAACATTTTTTTTAAAAAAATTTTGGACTTAAATTTATATAAAAAATTCTTAGATTAAATATGCTAATCTATTTATCTATATAATGTAACATAATAAAAAAAATTAATATACATATTATATTATTAATAATATAATTAAATAAATAAATTTGTAAAACAAAAATCAAACTATCAATATTTTGACATTTTCTCTACACTTTAACATTTTATATTTTTTTTATATAAAATTACAATTGATAATAAATTAGACTTAAATTTTAATTTTATACAACATATTCAACCTATATATTTAAAGGTTGGTCTAACTTATTTATATTCCTACTCAATAAACAAAAGTAAAATATAAAAAATAACAAGTTAAAGATAATTCATCATCTCTCCCAAGTTCTTTTTTAAAATAAAACAAGATAATTCACCGATAGATTGTGTGTCGATAAAAATCAAACTCTTCAATTGATATAATTTTATTAATTTTTATAATAATAATTTTAAAAATAATATTTTTTTTACTAAATTTAATACAGGAGGTACATAAAAATGAGATTCTTAAAATAAAAAATGAAATTAAATCGTGAGAAAAGTATAAGAAAAATGAAAAATTAAATATAAATGAGAGAAGTGGCACCAACCTTGCATCCCAAAGAGCAAAATTGATAAGAGTCTGAGATATTTCTTCTGCATGTCTCACATTGGGAACTGTGTTTGCAACTTTTACCAGCCCTTCTGCTCTTAGGATTTTCCAGATCCCTCTTGTTCAGAAAAACAACATTAAAGCTGTTAATCACATATGTTTGAATTCCAGTGATATCCAAGTCATTCTCAATATCAAACACCTTCACAGCATTATGATATGAGGATCTCCTAATCTGCATTGCACATACACTTATCAAGATCTGATTTTTCTACAGCTAAAATAAAAATATTGCTCAAATGTAATAAAAAATTGCTACTAGGCCATTTTTTTTTCTTCAATTGTATGAAATCAAATTAAACACCTACTTGAATGTACTTATGATCCTTGTGACTGGATTGTATGCAGTGGATGCACATTGCTTTGTCACAACAATTGAAGCAGAACATGTTGCGTTCTCTCTTAAATTCTTCAGTGTGGTGCTCACAATCAATGAAAAATGTAGTAAGGGACAACAATGTTTTCAGCCATGATGGCACAGTCTTGGATTCCTAAGAGCGAAATCAAACAATTTAATAACACAAAAAATTAAAGATTATAAGTTGAACATACATTGCAATTGGTATGAGTATACATTACCATTGTCGATATTGATTATGGCTAGAGAGCGACAGAACAAGAGAAAGATAGATGCTAGAAGAGAAAAGAAAATCACATAAAACAGTGAAAGGAAGGGACAATTATTTTAAAAAAATAAACAAACAAGACAGGAGCTGAGATGAGAAGACAAAAAAACATAAAATAAGAGCTAAGATAGATTTATAGGTTAAGGGAGTTTTTGACCCTTGGATCGAAAAATGGTAGATTTTTCCTTTTCGATATCCTTTTGCAGCCTTTCAAATGTTAGTAATTTTTGGTGACCTGTTACTAGAGCAGTGACAAAAAAATTAAAAAAGAATACAACATTATTTTGTGAGAAAGATAAAAAAGCAATTTGCACATGTGAAATTGAATTCAATCAAATACCCATACAACAAAGCTTTTGAGGTTTCCACCCATCAAACCCATTAAAAAAAATTGAGTAACCTAAAATGAGGGTGGATTAGGTGGAGGGAGGAAAAGAGAGATAGAAGAAGAAAAATAGAGAGAGAAAATGATATAAATGACATGTAAATATATTGAAAAAGGTAAAAGTCAGATAAATATTATCAGATGAGTTGTAAAAAAAGTGATATAAATTTGATTAAATAAGAAGAAAAGTCAGATAAATATTATCAGATGAGTTGTAAAAAAAGTGATATAAATTTGATTAAATAAAAGAAAGTGATATAGATATTTATCATTATTACAAAATTTATTGTCAATCTAAATTTATAACCCAACTACATGCACGTTCAAGAAAATTTACAGTTAGTTCTTGTAATATAATTCATAACATTTTAAAAAAGTATTAACTACAAAAAATTTTATATACTAAGTAAATGCCACAATTAATTAATTTCATATTTTAACATTTATTCATGTCCTTTTTTGTCTCCTTTTACAAGTGTGATTTTAACATTTATTTATAAATGTCATTGCTATTTTATTTTATTTTTATTTTTTTATATTGATCTAAATGTACGAGAGGAGAGAATCGAAAACTTCTTTGAAACAATTAATTCGTGTATTGGGAGGAGGACTTTACTTATTCAAACAGGTGATTGATGTAACACCTGTAAGAATTAAATTAACAATAATTATAATTTTTTATCAATAATTAAAAGTGTTTTAATCAATAACATCATAACAAACTTTAATTAAAAAAATATTCTCAAATGAATGGGCCTCTAAGGCCCAATAAGAGTATAAGGGTTTATAAAATCTAACCACGTTATTTCTACCACACTTAACTACATCATAAGTATCATACTTAATCTGTATGTATGAATTATATTTTGTCTGTATATAAAGAGAAAATATTTCCTTTCGCGAGGAAAATGTATCTTTTGACCCGCAAACAATGTTCAAAAGATAAGTATTTAAATAAAATTTAAAAGATAGCATTCCTTTTAATAACAAGAGATATATATTTGTTTCTCTCTATCCTCAAAAACTGGTATCAACTTCCAATAAAGGAAGACTATATGGCAATGCAAGAAAATGTCCATTAATATTCTAAACTCAAATTTAGTTATTTAAACAGCTTGCTAAAATTATTAAAAGAATGATTTAATTAATCAAATAGATTTTATAAATATTTTACAGATTTTAATAATTATGAGTGTTTTTAATAAAAAAATAAATATTGATAAAATTACTTTGTATAATAGATTTTATAAATATTTTATAGACTTTTAATAATTATGAGTATTTTTAATTAAATAAAAAATATTTATAAAATTATTCTGTATAATATTTATTTTAGGAGTATGCAAAAAATCTAAATTGATCTAAACCGATCCATAACCGATCCGATCCACATTAAAAAATCTGATCCATTTTGAAAAAAATCCGAACCGATCTACTTTATGAAACCGGTTCAAATATCCGATCCATTTTTACAAAATGGATTGGTTCAGTTCGATTTGATTTTTTTAAAAAATTGATCCATATATGAGTAAAAAATGGATAACCGCACCGCACCGAACCGATCCAATTTTAAAAAAACCGATCCACTTTATAAAAAATGGATCGGTTAACCGATCCACTTTTATAAAACGGTTTGGTTCGGTTCGGTTCAAATTTTTCAAAAAAATCGATCCATGAACACCCATAATTTATTGGAAATATGTGTGTTTTTATGATATTTTGATATATATATATATATTTATATATATTATGAGTGTTTTATGTATTATTTTATTTTATATTTGTTTTAATTAAAAGGGAAGGAAGTTAAGTTTTTAAAGAGAAGTTTAAAGAAGGGGAGTCAATTTACGTTTTACACTCTCATTATTTTATTTTACATTTTGTGTTTTGAAGAACTAGAGAAACTAGATATTAATGAAGATCACCTCGGAGATTTGGGTCCTATTCATTGAGGTAGGAATGAATGATAATTTTGCTCTAGACATAAGATATATGTTGGATAATGAGATTGACCTCCAATCTCTTTCTTTGTTGTATGATAGAACAATCCCAACTTTTGATATTAACTTGTGCTTCTACTCCCTATATGATTCTTCAATATTCTAACTGATGTTGTTGATATATATGTATGTTCAATTGTGTATATAAACTAATCTTGAAGATCTTGAATTGTCCATTGGTTCATGTGAGAACCTTAGGGAATGAACATATTAAGTTAGTGTGTGATATTTGAGATGAGCATGTGAGAATGTGAAATTGAAGTTGAATTTAAGTAATTGATGGTATAATAAAGTAATATTAAACTTTAATCGTAATTTTTACTATTTGGTTTGGAGTTTTGGATTCACAATGTGCAATTTTCGCTCATCCTACAAGTCTTTAACAAACTAGTATCATGCCAAGTGTCAAATAGATTGCGTTGGGTGCCATTTAATGTTGTTCCTGCATTGTTTTGCGCTAGGCATGACCTCAACCATATTGGTGTGTAGGTGTTACTAAGAAGGTTATGTCCTCTCCGCTCTAGGCACGAAAAATGATGCACCGAGCATGATAATGTTAGGATTAGATTTTGTGACTTTCATATGAATTGTAGCTTTGAATATGTAAGATTTAAAATGTCATTGGAATCACCTAAAAAGGATGTTTAGAACTCAAGTTATGATCAAAATAGGGAGTGAAGATCATGTTGTCAGGTTTAGGTTGAAACGTTACAATTTTACAACATAAAATTATAGATAATTGTCTTAGTTTCCTAAAAAAAATTAAGATCAACTTGTACTCAACATTCCCAACTCATTAAGTTACACTTTTCTGATGATACTTACATAAGTAATTTATATATATGTCAAAATCGCAATAACTCTACTCATAGCCCGAAGGCTTAGTCTCATGGCCTAAAAGCTTAGTCCATGGCCCAAAGGCTTAATCTCATGACTCAAAGGCTTAGTCTCATGGTCCGAAGGCTTATACTCATGTTCGTGACACATTATCTCATACTCATAACACACATATCTTACTCAATCATTACACATATCTCATGCTCATGACACATATCTCTCACTCATAACCATATCTCATACTCAACCGCTACACGTTTCATACCGTAAAAATTTTAATCAATCATGTCCTCCCATTACACATGTTGTAATGTCAATCCATTTACATTTCTCATCATACTCTACTTAGCACACCTCCTTAAATTAATAATTATATAGCACAAAGATTCTTATCATTCATATTTTATGTACAAAACTCTATGTGACATTTTATCTCATGTACAAGAGCCCTCTTTACCACACCTGCACCTAGCATGGTTAAGGTCACGTTCGACACAAAACTTCACAGGAACAACGTTAGATGGCGCCCAATGTGATCTATTTGATATTCGACATGATAACAATTTGTGGAAAACTTATAGCATTTGTGAAATCGCATATTGCAAATCCAAAACCCCAAAACTCTAACCAATCGGTAAAAATCATTATTAAAGCTAATTACTACTATATTATACCATCAATTATTCAACTCCAATATCAATTTCACATATTCTCACATACTCATCTCAATTATCTCGTATAATCCAATATGTTCATTTTGGTTCCCTAGGAACCCGTGGACAATCCAAGATCCATATAATTAGTTAAATTACATATAATTAAATATACATACATATATCAAAAAATCAATTAGAGCACTGAAGAGTGATATGAGACATAGAAACACAAATTAAGATCATAGTTTGAGATTGCCCTCTCACATAAAACAGAGAAAGAAATTGGGGTCAATCTCACTACTCAACATATATTCTATGTTTAGAGTAAGACTACTCACTCTCTCCTTAGGTGATAATTGCATAGTTCCAAAATGATCTCTTTCTTGTTCTCCAGGCTTTTCTTCTAATACTCTAAGAGAGAAAAGTGCGTAAGCGTACGAGGGAAGCTTAACTTTTTATAAAGATTGTTCTTTCCACTAGTGAAAAAAAAAAGAATTTTAAGATCAGTTATTTTTTACTTTTAAGATCGGTTAAAGAATCGATCTTAAAAGAGACAATCTTAAAAGTTGAACTTTTAAGATTAGTTATTAACCGATCTTAAAAGTCCAACTTTTAAGATCAATTATGAAATAATCAATCTTTTGAGAGAGAACGATCGACGTGGAACGATGAAGGTACGCAAGACTATGTTCGCAAAGTCAGGGGGACCAAACAAGGGAGAACATTTCATACATAATTACGATACTTTTAAGATCAATTCTTCTATGATTGATCTTAAAAATTATGTCTAATACAACTTTTAAAATTGGGTATTAAAAGAACCAATCTTGTATACCACTTTTAAGATTGGTTCTTCTGTAACTAATCTTAAAAGTTGTATCAAACATACTTTTTTAAGATTGGTAAAAAAATAACCGATCTTAAAAGTATTTACATTATTTACAAAATTGTCACCACTTCACTTTTAAGATCAATTACTTTTTAACCGATCTTAAAACCTTAATTTAAAACTACTTTTTTCACTCGTGTTCCCTCATTTTTTTAAACAAAAACACAATCAAATATCCCACAATATAAAATTATTATTCAAAATACATTTAATTACATAATTAATTAAAAAATATATGTTGTCCAAATATTTTCTATAACAAAATAATTTCACCCATTTTTTATTTAATTAAAAATAGTCATACTTATTTAAAAACTTCTAAATATATTTATAAAACTTGTTTAATTAATTAAAACATATTTTTAATAAACTTTTAAAACTCAAAGTGTTACACTAATGTTATATGAAAACTTTTAATTTCATTGTCATAAATTACAAAGCAAATTATGAAAGTCAATAATTCATTATTAATTTGTATTTCACATGTTTCCCATCACTTTTGGTATGGCGGAGAAAAATAAAATATTTTATAAGAAGAAAATTTATTTTGTGTAAGTTAACTTTTTCTTTTATTTTTTACATTTTCTCCACTAAATAAATGAAAACTTATTGTTGTCTACGTATATATATTTTATTTTCTTTCTTTCCAACCAAATATACCATTAAGGTGCATTTATATTCATTTTGAACAACCTAGTGCTAGATAATCCATTTACCTTCTACAGTATAAAATACTTTAATAGGTATATAAACTTAGTATTACTTAATCATCATAAAACTTTAAGAGTCGATTTTTCATATTTTACAAAAAAAAGAAAGTATTTTTCTTTTTAAAAACTAAATACATATCTGTCTGTTTTCCCATCTTCCTATTGTTTCTCTCATTATTTCTTTCTTTCCTTCTTATTTCATATATCATTTAAAAGAACATAAATATATAATTAAACCGCTCCAATTTAACTAGAAAGAAAGAAAATATTGAACACGAATTATTTCCCAACAGGCCACTAACTTTGTGTAGGGTGCAGTTGGACTTTCTGAATGATCATGATATGAGATATGACCCTTTCTTCACTCGCTGTAGTCTCTACACACAATCTCCCTATACACCCCCACACTGTCCAATCATTCAAACTCCTTTGCCGTCATAATTAGCACTAGTGTAAGACATATTGTAACGTCATTGTAAAAAAAATGTATAGTTAACTTAAAATGATAAGATAATTCAACAAATTAGTTGAAGAAAAAAAATGTTACATATATAGATATATGTGTGTATAAATTTTGATTTCTATCAATGATATTGGAATCAATAATTCTAAATCTTAAATCTTAAACCTATAACTCTAAACGTAAATAATGATTGATTTAGAATCTCAAACAAGTATTTAAAAATAAAAAAATTTGTAGATTTAATTATGAAATTTCTTGTATCAAAATTATTTTTAATAATTTAGAATTCAGACAATAAAACTTTTTGAGAGATGACTAAAAAAAAATCATATTTAAGTTTAAAAATAGATATTTGAGTGTGGTGAGTGGTGGGAGGTTAAGATAATTGATAAAGGATGTAGATTCAAATAATTATGATGAAAAAATAAAATAAGAAAACTTTATAGATTCACGGGTTTACGAAAATTAACGCGTAGAAGAAAACATGCATGATGACACAACCCATGTTAATCAAAAGCCAAAGTCATTTTTTCCTTTACAGTTTTGGTCATCATCATGAATACATATCCTTTCAAATTCAGTCCACACAACTCTCGCGTTCTGTTTTCCCAGCTAAGCTTTGGTCACACTCTCACGTGCATCATGTCAAGGATACACGTTACGTTGGTAAATGGAAAATGAAGAACATATACGTTATACATGCTCTTAGAGTTCTATTCTCGTGACATGATGTTTCTGTCGGGAACTCTTACCAAAACGCTCTTCATCACTTGACTCACCTCAAAACCAATCCAATATAAATTATTTACCATTCAATTGGTACTGTTTACTCTTTTCTTGTTACGTACTCTTATTGCTCCCTCTCTGTACAAATGGAAAAGCTTTGTGTACTTTTGGCCACTCTTGTGTTCCTTGGTATATTGTTTCTTGGGGAAAATGTAACTGCTTTGAGGACTAACGACGGATCAGAAGAATGGGGCTATGTACAAGTCAGACCCAGTAAGCCTAATACATTACAATTATGTAATTTCAATTATGCATGGTGTTATTTTGAAAAATTTTGTTACACACTGAGTGTTTCAGTTCACTTCATTAATTTTGCATCTTTTGTGAAGAAACTAGAAATGAATCCTTAAGGTGACTATAGTAATTGTGTTTACCTTTTACTTGGGATTGTGTGTGTTGTCACAGAAGCCCACATGTTCTGGTGGCTTTACAGAAGTCCCTACAGAGTGGACAATCCATCCAAGCCATGGCCAATTATTCTCTGGTTGCAAGGAGGACCTGTGAGTCTTGTTCGAATTGTGCTATATGATGTTGATTAACTGAGCAAAACAGATAGATTCTATATATGTTTGTGGTATGAAATTTTATTTGCATTGAACAGGGCTCTTCAGGAGTTGGATTTGGAAACTTCAGAGAGATTGGTCCTTTGGATGCCAATTTGAAGCCAAGGAATTTCACATGGTTGAAGAACGCAGACCTGCTTTTTGTGGTAAGTCAGAAACGAAACAAAACTTGGTTACAGTAGTACGATTGGTACTCATTTTACTGGTCTCCGATGGAAATCGAAATTTTACTTTAATAAAATACATTAATGCAGATCTCGATGATATACAACATATTACAAAAATAAAACTTTAATTCTGATTAAAAAATAGTACCAAAGCTACCATAAGTTCTATTTATCCTATAAACAGTTCATATTAGTTCTTTTCATTGTGATTTTCATCACTCAATGCCTTTGCTGTTATGATATAGGACAATCCAGTAGGAACTGGGTACAGTTTTGTGGAGGATTCTAGACTCCTTGTTAAAACAGATGAGGAGGCAGCCACTGACTTGACTACATTGTTGACCAAGTTGTTCAACAGTGATCTGAGACTCCAGAAGAGTCCTCTCTTCATTGTGGCAGAGTCATACGGTGGAAAATTTGCTGTCACTCTTGGATTATCTGTTATCAAATCTATTCAAAAAGGAAAACTGAAGCTTAAACTTGGAGGTATATAACTAAACATTCTTTTCTTTAAGCGTATTCATCATCTGTCAGATTCCAAATTAGAGTGACCGGAAACAGTTCTTATCCATGGAGTGGTTTATATGTTAATTTCTTCCTTGTATGAAGACTTTTTGTGATATTCAGTAACTTTTTCTCTTATTTAGGTGTGGTGTTAGGAGACAGCTGGATCTCCCCCGAAGATTTTGTAGTAAGTACAAGAATTGTTGTAGCCACCCGTTTATAACTTTTCTCTTTCCGAATATTCAATTTGACTCTGCAGTTTTCATGGGGCCCTCTGCTTAAAGACCTCTCAAGACTTGATGACAAGGGGCTGCAAATATCAAACAGGTTTATCTATTTTCCATCTTTTCAAATAGACACATTGAAGAAAAGTACGGCAACAGTATTAGTGTTAGGAATGCTATCACCCTCTGTCTGAAACCCTCTTTTTACACTCTATGGTTTGTAAAGTTGACTGAAATTAATTAAAAATCACAAATTTTATATATATTGTACATCTTAATTAACAATTTTTTTCTGATTTTATAATAGGACTCGACAATATTTTTTAATTTTCAACTAATAAGAAAAGAATATTAACAAGAAGGTATTAGGAAAAAAAAGTGTTATAGCATTTTTCTTATTCTATAAGTTTGTCCTTTTTCTTATGAGTAACATAAATGGACATTTATTTACTTTGCTCTCAAGTCAATGAAGTGATTTTTTGTGTTCAGCAGAAGTTATGTATAGTTATTTTTTCTTTTTATTTATTTATTTTTATTTGAACGTGGAGAGAGACAGATCCAAACATGCACTTAATTCACACTCTTCATTCTGTCCCTCTCATCTCTTATCACATTATATCCACCGATTTTATCTACACTTATTTCTCTTCATATATCCATGCAACATTTTCCTTTTCTCATTTATCTGACAAGAACAGTATAGCTAAGAGGGTCAAGCAGCAACTTCAAGCTGGTCAATTTGTTAATGCAACTAACTCATGGAGTGAGCTTGAATATGTAATTAACATCAACAGCAATTCTGTGGTACTATACTTTATTCACTAATCACTATCTTTTATGTGATATCTTTCCACAATCTCCAAAATGCTAAAAGTTCCATACCACTGCTCATGGAGTTTTATGTTGGGATATTTAAGGATTTCTATAACTTTCTGCTGGATTCTGGAAGTGATTCAGCAACCGTATCCGCAATGAAGCGGAAATTATTCAAAGAAATATCAATGAGGCGATACTCCAAGCATCTTACTTCAACTAGATATTCTCCTGGTGTTAATGGTGATCTTAACAACTTATTAAACGGTGTCATAAAGAAGAAATTAAAGATAATTCCTGAAAATATTAGGTAAGCCTAAAATTCTCTGGAAAAAACTATACATGGATTCAATTCGAATGTGTGATCTAGTTGCTACTGATCTGGCAGTTGGTTTGACCAGTCCGATAATGTTTTCACAAATCTTGAAGGTGATTTTATGAAGCCTAGAATTGCTGAGGTAAGAAGCATTAGTAAGGTTAATTATAATAAACTTGGAACTTTGATTTTTAGCTTCTATTTAACTCAATTAAATTCATCTTAAGTCAACCAAAAAATAGTACCATTAATAAAGGTTTACTTGGAAATATTCTGCTCTCTGATTTTCTGAACTTTGGTAATATCTTTTTCTCTTTTCCTCTTTTTTGTATTTATATATTTGACGTCTCTAGTTTAACAAGTTCAGGTTGATAAGCTGCTGGCTCTTGGGGTCAATGTGACTGTGTACAGTGGACAAGTGAGTGTCCCTTAATTCTACTATTTATTAATATAGATATTGTTCACCCAATTGTTAGACATGTTGATTGGATTCCAAATTCTTCTTGATATGAAATCCTATTAAAATTCCAGCATCTCAAAATATAAATTTTTATAAAAAAATAAAGAAATTTAAAAGGAAAATATGAATTGAGATAACAAATAAAAAAATAATGTCACAATTCTTAAAGATTGATAAATTAAAAAAGATTTGTTATTTTGAATTAGAAAATTCAAAGATAAAAATTAAAAGTATTTTTTAAGAACCTAAAGAGAGACAATCCTCTAAATTGAAAAAATATCCAAAATTTGAATAATTCAATTCTCTCCCCTAACATCTTATAAGTTGAAAAGGATTTGTCATTTTGAACTAGAAAATTCAAAGTAACTTCCAAGAATCTAGAGAGAGACAATCCTCTCAATTGAAAAAAAATCTAAAATTTGAATAATTCAATTTTGTCTTCAACATCTTACAAGAAATTTCTTTTTATATGCAATAAGTAATAAATTTCCACTAACACTTATTTTTTACTAAAATGCATTCCCCGTTGTTCCACCAATTATCATTGTGGTTTAAGGAGCCTAAATACAGTAAAACTGACTTAGATAATATATAAAAATTGCAAAATCACATTAATAGTGAACAAAATGGACTTAAGCAATTATTTGGCTCAACAACTAATTAAACATAAGTCCATTAACCCTTCTTCTTGATCATGTGAATTTGAACTTGTTATATGTTATCTTCAAATTAGACTCAAATCTTTATTAACATATAGAAAATAATTTTAGATGATATATCTCTATAAAACTTATCATACAATTCATTTCATCTTCTTTATTTTTCAAATTTTTTTTAAATACAGTCTTGAGTAGATTCCGTCTAGATTTAATCAAATTAACTAAGAATATGTGATGACCATCTTGCTCTTTTTTTTTTTTTCTTAGATTTAAGCAGATCATTTTTATTTATTTATTTATTTATTTATTTTGTATATTATTATGTCTATTACAGGTTGATCTCATTTGTGCAACAAGGGGAACAGAAGCTTGGCTTAAGAAACTCAAGTAAGCAACTCTATGGTTTATTTACCCTTTTCAAGATTGGTGAAAGCAATCATATGTGCATTACTGTGCTTTCCTTTTTTTTTTTTTTTTTTTTTTTTTTTTGGGTTCATTGGGTAGATGGGTAGGGCTTCCAAACTTCATGAAGAAAAACAGAACCCCCATCTTCTGTGGAAGTGACAGAAAGACCAATGGCTTTTTCAAGTCATATAAAAACCTAAATTTCTATTGGATCCTTGGAGCTGGCCATTTTGTAAGTCAAGATCAATCATCATCTCAATAGCTATGAATTCCTTCTTTTTTTTTTTTTTCAAGGAAGAAAGAATAATTATATTTTTACAGCCTATTTTTGTAACATTTGGCATTATATCACTTGCCTTATTATATATATA